AGTGCCCAGATTCAAAGTGGACAAAAAGAGCGAATCGCAATTTCGACATCACGTCTAAAAATGCTATTACTAAGCTCCTATACTTCTGGATCTTGAAACAATACATGTCGATAATTTTGTACACAAAAGTCTTTACTTAGATAAGTGGAAATTGAGTATTGTGCCCAAGTTATCGGCATTCATTGGAAGATAATAAAACATAAGGCGATCTAGGATTGAAGGCAATTTCGCAAGCATTTTAGGTAAAATATTCACTAGGTGATCTAGCAAATTGGGGGGAAAGACTGAAATATCAGTATGGCATATCACAAACCCTGATCTTCGATGGCCTTAGTTGAATCCGTAGATTTGGCGAGATCACCGCTTTTATCAGGCCTACGGGAGCCGCTGCCCAGTCCGGCTGTGGAAAGGCGCACAGTTCGCAGTCTCAGGCCTTCGGGGGCTATTACTGCCGATTCTGCTTCTATAGACAATGAAGAGCGAAGCTGATCGAGTTTCTCACTAGGCAATATATCGCAGTCAATTAGAGGAGGCGTTACTTGTGATAGGGTAGGCCGAGGAGGAGATGGTGGTGTTAGTGCCATCGCAGCTGCTGCCAAAATAGAAGATGCTGAAGGCTCCAAATGCAAAGGTGCGTCAAGAGAAGAGGTAGAAAGTTGAGAAGCGGAGGGAGAAAGCGAAAGAGAAGCTGAAGGAGAAGCAGATGATGTAGTGATACGAGGCCGAGATTGTTTAATGCGTGGTCTGGAAAAATTCGACGAAATTTGACATCTTCGATTAAAAAATTTCACAGATCCAGCTGACGTGGACAAGGACATCCGCATAGCCTCTGCTTGTCCACTGTCTGCTGTCCGTTTAGAAATGTCCCTATCTTCCTCTTCATCATCTTCCTCCTCATAATCCAGTACGTGGCTCGAACCATTCACCTCTTCATCATCGTCATCGTTCTGGCTACTCACTACACTGTCCGCTTCATCTCGATTTTCTCCGGCTAAGTCATCGTCAACTTCGCGAATACCCAATTCCTCCTCTTCTTCCCCAACTTCGTCGTCATCCGATCTAAAGGATCGAGTACTGGCATGCTCAGAAAGCACGCAAGCAGTAGACAAGCCTTCTAGCTGATCTGATGTTGTATCTAAAAAGGAGAAAAAATGCTCAGGATAGAGCAGATAATACGAAAGGTTATTTAGGATAAATTAAGTTAAAGATCTATGTCTATAAGGTTAAAAATAAGCCCGTCTTTGATGAAGAAGCAATGTAGAATACCAAGCATGTCTAAATTGTATGAAAAATTTAGATCTTATCCTAAAATATTAAGCCTTGGAGTTCCAATATAGCCAAATATAAACAATTTATGAGGAAAACAGAGACACCAAGGCTCTAAGTGAAGGTTGCTAGAGCAAGCCATTATTAATATACCTACTTTATAACTTTCCTATGGCAAAAAAAACATAAAATCATACCCAAAAAATGTTCATGGGAAATCCTGCGTTAATGGTATGTCTAGTAGTAAATTCAGATATGGTAGACGAAAAAGTAATTGATCGACAGCCAAATTGCCTATGCAAAATGAGGTATGCTTAGATGTCGGTTCGAGAAAGGAGTAAATGGTGGGAAATAAGTCTGGGTCCACACAATGAGGCTAAACAGATGCAGTGAGAAAGATTTGGGCTGAGCTATTAGGGTAAACAAAGAAATCCAAATGGAAATCTAATTTTGGCAGCAAGATTTCATCTTAATAATCTCCTCTAATGTAAGCCAATAAACGGAGAATGAATTAATTTATAATAAGGGTTAGTATAGGCTTGATGTGGGATAAATGTCCATATTTCGAATCAGTGCTAAGTAGAAGAAATATAATTATTTTTCTATCCTTATTAGGAAAGCTGGACATAGTGAGCTGATTAAAAACAACTAGATATTTTTTTAAATAACAATAGCACCCACCATAGGTCACTGAAAATTATTTATTAGCAATAATTTAAAAGTGCATGAGATGTATTGAGATTGGTAGTTGAATTTGACTACGATGCTGTAAGACGGCTTCACGCTGCCCTACCCTGGTTCGAGTCCCGCCGGTATTGATAATCAAACGTAGGTGGAATCGAAGCTGCAACCCACCATAAATAAAAATACCTATTTGGAAGCAAATCTATGTGAAACTCAGTGTAAGCATAAGGCCAAATCATATAAATGTGGTAAAATTCAACTAGAAATCCTCCATTACATAGTTCCAATTCAAGCTGTTGATTGTCCAGACATCACATCAATATACTCCTTACAACCATATTCAAGCTAACGAGTCAAGAAACCTAACCGGCTGATGTCTAAAATGATGAATATATATTTATATCTAAGCTCTTTGATGAGGCATAAAGTGATTTGGTTAGTTTTAGTCATATTTCAATCTCGGAGCATGTGAGTGGATGGGTGTGTGTATATGCCTGCCTGTAGTCGCAACACGATAAGATTGACAAAATGAAATGCTCGGTAGTTGATTGCATCGAATGCGGCAAATGCAAGCTAAAGTATATCGCTGAAACAGGAAGAAAAATTGGCTTACAAATGAAGAAACATCAAAGACTCTAGAAACATGGATACAGAAAGATCCGAAATAGTGTAACACATTGCACGGACTGGGCATGAAATCGGTAGAAAGACTGACTGCATATGGTGAAAATTCGAAAGGTCATCGATGTACTGACCAAAAGAAGTCTAATGAACAGGAAACTTGAAGAAGACAGGATTAGAGAAAACTTTACATATTGCATAAGAAAACTCGGATAAGATCAATCAACAGCAAGATCAGCAAAAAGAAGACGACTAGATCAAGGTTACATCTTTATAGTGTTAGCTCGAGCTTGTTTTCGCAACTTAGTCTGAGCATCTGAGAGACCTTGTGGAACGTACCTAGTCCAGTATCCTCTGTCATAGTATTCGTGATTTCCGGTATTGGACCATTGTCTGAGTCCATTTCCAAACGTTTCGCCGGCATCATTAGTAAGAGGCGCCATCGTAAGC